TATCATTACTCTGTAGAATTATGTGAGTGCAAAATGTTTTTTTTATCGTTCGTGTCTTTATTAAATAAAAATTAAAAATTACAATTTCTTATCACACGAGTGCTGCCAACCTTGTTATCGTTATTGTGTTATCACAAACGTTTGTACAGGTCCGTGTAAGGACTTCATCATTGGCGGTCTAGATATATACTTATTTCCTAATTTTTAGACTAGAACGAAAGTATTAAGAGTTGTTTTAAATATTATATTCGTGTCTATTTTTAGAAAAAATTCCTTTTGCTCTTATCGAACCAGTGTAGCCAACCTTGTCGTATCAAGTACTGTGTTATCACATTTTAATAAAACAAACAATGATTATTATTATTAATAATTAGTAGGATTATTATGCCAGAGAGAATACCTAACCAAGAACTATAGACGGCAAGGAAAAAAGTCAAACCTAACCTAACAAGTGTATTTATAGAATTAATTGTACACATTACTGCCAACTGTTTAAGTCTTTTTTTTTTAATCAGGTTGTAATCAGTGGTTCCCCAAAGAATTTACACCGAGACGGACAATAGTAATAATAATAATATACCATAATAATTATTGGGTAAAGCCCCACCAAGTATAACGTACCGTACACCTACCGAAGCAGTTGTACGGTATTAGTAGTAGCAGCAATAGTAGTGGTAGTAGTAGTAGTAGTAGTAGTAGTACTTACCGCGTGGAAATATAGTAGCATAATAGTATGCAGTGTGGTAGGTATAATAATATATAGTGTGATATATATAAATATAAAATATTATAGATTGTGTTTTTAACGGGCAGACAACAACTGGCAGTGCCCAGGAAATCGTTTTGAAACCGAGAGAATCGTTAAACCGTGACAGAAAACCATGCTGGTCCAAGGACTCCGGCGCGTTTTGATGCGGATGAGGAAAGAAATTACTTCTTTCCTTACTTCCTTCATTCGATCGATGATCGATCGATCGAGCGGTTTCTTTTTTTGAGATTTTGTCTACCGACGATGCTACCGCATAGTTACATACATAGCGGATGTCCCTTCCCTAAAAAAAACAAACAAAAACACACACACTAGTACAATAAAAAAACGTACAAGTTTTTTTTTTAAATGTATTTGTAATTATTATATTTGTATGTAACGGCGATGACGAATAATAATAATAATATCTTAATCGATAGCCTATCACGTCCAGACGGACGTGTCTCGATAAACGATAATGGTGAAAGAAAAAAAAATAACCAATTAATTCATACTTAAGATAACGCCTAGAGTTGTTTTTCCGAAATGATTTCCAAACAACGCGCATAACAACAATATCAAAAACATTCATAAAGGATTCTGTTCTTGATTGGCTTAATTGGCTACAGTCAAGTTTATATCAGATAGTGAAATATCTAGGTGGTATCTCACTTAACCCTTATTATGGGCTAATTTTTTGAAGTGTAAAAAAATTAAAATAACAGTACTTTTCAGGTTAGCCATGAATAGTTGTACATCAAATTACAAATATAATATTTATTTTTTAAGATGCAATGCCGAGTTAAGGGTACAACAAGCAGAGACTGGGGTCGTCTTAGATCTGTGTAAACAATAGGGAAAAATGTATGTCGTTTGGTGAAATGTTTAATCCTTGAAGTCAGCCATACTTAGGCAACAACAACAATATTGTACAACTCAACAAAATACAATATTAACAATAATTATTCAAGTGAAGTAATCGACGCTTTCAGAAACAACAGCTGAGTGTTAATAGCTAACAGGTATTAAAGCAATATCCGTAATACTATTATAAACTATAAAGGTACAGCATGTATACAAGTACCGACCCTTCACTTGGACAGGTTACACGATTTTAATGTCGTTTGTTGAAAAGAAAAATAAGTTTTTTTATGGGGGGGGGGGGGCGCTAAATGTATAAAAAATTAAGTAATATTTTTGTGAGTCAAATTGGGCTAAACAAATGCCTAAAGAAAAGCTGAAAAAAAATGTATCGATTAGGCCAATTAAAAATGCCAAAATTAAATATGTTTTTCAAATGAATCAGATAATGGGATTTTTGACCTGGACCTTGAAAAATGTAAATAAAACTAAACGAGCGACAACTATGTTTAATTATTTATTTATTTATTTTTATTTTACAATTAATAGTTTCTAGCAACTTTTTTGTGTGCTACATAACAAGCTACCGACCGACCACATTTTTTCCCTGTTAACCTAACCTGACGGGCTAAAAAAATAAAGGGAAAACTTTCTTCGGATCGGAGGCATTTTTTTCTATTATAATTTCATTGGAATACCTATTCCACAGGAATTTTTTACACAAACTTCGCAGCGCTAATCTATGTAAGCTTTGCCATTTTATACGATAAACAAACGAGGAAATTAAAACACAGATAATATGAATAGTTATAAATATTATATGTATATTATACACACCGAGCAGTTTTAATTCCGGTCGCGCCAAAACCCATGTTTGTTTTATTTTTTAATCTGCATTTACACTGTTTCTATAAATATATATAGTATATATATGTATTTAATACAGATATTGTATATTATGCTATAACATATTTTAGGTATGGTGTAAAAAAACAACAGCTCTAGTACTATTACTAGTCGTGCGCCTACCGTTGGTGAAGCGATTAAAAAACATAAAAAAAAACCACACAGGTACAATGTTATGTTATGGAACACACAAATGTAAGTAAATAATAATCGAGGTGGAATAACAAAAAAATCTAGGCCATCGCGGTTAAGGCACACAATGGAGTTCCGTTTGTGCTTATGCACATATACTTACATACATACATATAATACATATAAGTACACCGACATATTATAATATTATTATACATAATATTATATATGATTATCTATTTAGAAAACCCAAAGAGCTTCACGAAAATGCACATGTGTTCGTAGGTTAAGCTGTAAGTAGTTTTATTATAATAGCGCTCTGTGTATTAGTACCTACTGTTAATATGGTTAACGACAATTGTACAATATTATTGCAACTATTCGTATAAATTTCGTTTTTTTTTAACAGCAAAAAAAAATATGGGCTTATAAACGCAAGTACTAAAAATATATTTAACACAGAAATTAACGACTTTCTATAACTCTGATTACCTACTTTCAAACACCTACTCACAAAGAATTGAGTACCTCTAACCAGCTGAGATACTAACTATTGAAATAATCTTATTGGTATAGTTGTAAACTGTATTTAAAAAAAAAAAATCAGAGATCAATTTGAGGCGTGCAAGGTAAAGTAGAGATAAATTAACTTGTTAACTTGGCCGGGCTCGACTGAGACTTGAATTTTATTATTAAGTTTTAATGGATTTATGAATAAGCATATAATAATAACTATATTCGCAGGTATTAGGTAAGAGTATAGGGACAAACGGGTAAAAAAATAATCAATCTTTTTTTTTCCTAATCAGTCAACAGCTGATAATTATCAGTCGACATGTTTCCACTGAAAGGTCACTAAAAAATATGTCAGACCGTTTCCGACCGATAGGAATCCGATCGATTATTTTTTAATTCTATTAAAAAAACAAATAATTGACATTATCACTGCGGTTCAATAATGTAGTCTCATTAGAGTCATTTGATTATTTATACAAAAAAAAAAATGTATAATCACTTTCAATTTTATTTTATTGCTGTGCCATAAACACGTTTGTGATGTGATCTTATACAATTACAAAATTAATAGTCTTATTGAAGTGATTTCGGTCACAACGTTGTTCTCAATAATTTCCAAACAAGTTATTGAGCAGTGTTCAACGAGACAACAGAACCGGGTCAAAATAAAAAAACCCAAATCAAATTTAGAACACTGTATATATAGCTGAAATAAAATTACAATTTTTTGTTGGTAAATAAGTATGACAAAGCGACAAAAAACCGCATGAATGAAAATATGTAATATAAGTTGACAAACGGAAAATTTATTGAAAATATTTTTACTATAGAAAGAAGGGTACGGGGGAAAACCCGGGAAAGCCACGAAAAACATGTTTATCTAATGCTAAAAAAAAATACTTGAAAACTTTGATGAAACGATCAATTTTTGTTTTCGGTTAAATTATAATAATTGGAAACAGATTCAACGAAAACGAATTGCATACAACAACCAAATGGCACTTTTTCAAATGTGACTTGTCAGTTTTGTTCCAAGTACCTGCTCTTTAAATATATTTTTTTTATTTTTAAGATTTTATGTTTTGAATATATTTCAACCCATAATATGGCGATATACCTTTTAAAGATTAAAATTGAAATAAATGTATAAAAAGTTTATGGACTGGTTTTATATTTTTTTGGAGATATCATTATAGTTATTGTTAAGAATTTACAGATTTTTGAGCCATATTACATATTTTGTTCTACCGATAACCATGTTATCAGCTAACATATCATCACTTATTTATAGTTGTTTATGTATACAAATTAAAATCTCGTGTATCCTAAGAGGTACACGTGAAAAAAATAATAAATAACTATATATATATATATATATTTTGTTTGTTTGTTCCAATAGGTGTTAATTATTTTATATGCCTATTTTTTAAACGTAGGCGCATATTTAACAGCTTATTCTCTATTCTCTCCATAGGTTTTCTATTGGTTCTTACATAATATTATTTTGTTATTAGCCGGTAATTCTTATCGCGTGGTCCGCGTGTAGCAGCCTCGTGTGTGTTGTTAAAATAATAATATTTCAACAGCGATTATCATTATTAGTATTATTGTTTTTTACCTACCGGTCGATTATAGTAGAAATTTAATTTAAAAAAACCGTACAGAGCCACATACGTCCTAGGCCACTGCTCCCACGGTTGTTCCGGCGGCGGCGGCCGCGGTACGGTAGTTACCGTGCGCACGGTACCGTGCCGCGGCCACACTGGGCGCACGACGGACGGGCGGGGTTGCGTATCACGCGACGCCCATACAATTTATCAGGCTCAGTACCATTTTGTTGCCGTCAGGTTGCCGGTAGAGCATGTAGTGCTGCTGTTCTTTCTCTCGTTTACCAACGTGTGATAATGACTGTAATATTATTATTATAGTAGCTGTTATTATAATAATATTATATTATATATACTTGAAATAATATTATAAATAATTTTTTTTTTCACATTTCACCACGACCGGATTTATTAATTACAATAATAACAAGTAACGACAAAAAAATATACTACCCATATACATGTTTGTTGTGCGATAAAACGAGGCTTATATTTTTTTTTTACTTGTTAATCGCCAATCGTCTTCTTCGTTATAATAATAATATAATATTATTATATTTCATCGGATCGTTCGCGAGTTGATAATATTAATTGTTTGTTTTTTTTGTTCGCCGCCGTCGATAGTATAGTTCGGTGTGTTTTTTTTTCTAATAAAAAAATATTACTCGGTGATTTTTTTTTTTTCTGTTAATAAATATAGTAATTGTATTTCCTTCGTCGTCGCCAAGTGCCGTTTCTCAAGTGTTCGAGACGTGTAAATGCATCTTCCGGACAACGGCACAGGGTCTTGACGAAAAGCCACCGCACGTTAAGTTTTAAGGTAAGACCATAATATATATTATACATACATCCATAATAGTAATAGGTATATAGGTACACGATATTATAACAACAGTTTCCGAACCGGCCCGGATAGTCCCGAAAAAAAAAAACGAAAAATGTTTTTTTATTTTTTTTTTTTACAATTTTTCCTTTAAAATTATTTACCACTACCGGTCGCCTCGGGTCTAGGTAGTCGACGATGGTAGCATTGCATAACCCAAACCGGGCATAACAGTTTTTGCCTTATATAACTGCTGCACAATGCATAACGGTGTGTGTGTGTGTGTGTGCACTGTGCACTACTGCACTACACAAGAAAAGAGGGTTTTTTTTTTGCTTTTTCGTTTGGACTAGGTTTTTGTTTTTCTTAAAAATGGTTTTTTTCTGGTGTACCTAACCTGACCGCTACTACCGTCGTTACGCCCCCGACAATAATAGTACCCTGTATATTGTATTGTATTTAAAATACTCGGAAGGGAGTCTGCGGCGGCGGCGACACCTTGCCCACTTGTGTGCCCGGAGCGCGACAGGTGTTCGTACACCCTCCCCCCGCGGCCACAGAGGGTGTCGCGTCCGGCGGCCGTTCGGTAGGGTCCACCTTACACAAATATGTGATAGACATATTTTAATTTTGTTCTACCGGCCAAAGAAATTGTGTAAAAATAAGACCGTTTTCCTTTTATTATTAGGTATATATTTTTACATAAATCGTAAGACGGTAGAAAAAAAAAGAAAAAAGGGTTGGCCGCACTGGTTATTGGTCACGCACGTCACACGAGTGTTGTTGAGGCGGCGGCGGCGGCGCTCGTATTTCCTGTTCCGCGATCATAACGATTGTGTCGTGAGTACATACATACTGTGGGCTGGCGGTGTGGCGGCCGGCGGGTAGCGGTGTCGGGCTCCCGAGACGGCGGCGGCGGCGAGATGCGTTCTTTTCCGCCACCGCCGCCGCCCTTTCCCGTCCGCTATTGTCCTACGGTTGACCTTGACTATACAACACACGGCGCGCCGTACACATGTACACGTACGACGGCGGCGGCCGACGACGCTCGACCGGATTCCGGACGGATTTCCACGTCGTCCGGCGGCGGCCCGTTGTTGTTTTACTTTAATACACACACAATATCGATATACCTAATATTATTTGGTTTTGGATTTTTTAGAAAATAAAAAAAAAAAATCGCTACTAGTTTGCCCTTTCGAATGGGTCAAGGTTTTTTTTTGCGTTCACTTCCCGCATTTTGATTTTCGACCGCGCGTACCGTCCGTGGGGCTTTATCGCACCCGCGTTTCCGCGCGTACAATATTAATATTGTTTATGCGTTTACCACGTTTATAAAAAGGCGGCGGCGGCAGTGTAAGGGAAGTGTAGTAGTCGCGGACAACAAAGAAGCCACAGTGTATGTGTGTGTTGGTTTTTTTTTTTTTTGGGAAGCTGCCGCCACCGCCGCTGCCACACCGCCGGTGGAATGTGGCGGGGGAGAAAAAGGAAACGGTCCCGTTCCCACGGTCGTCCGTCGTCGTCGTGCAGGCGTGTGTGTAATGTGCCCCTTGTCTGGCGGGCGCCCCGCACTGTCCGTGTTACGGGTGAGGGGCGGGACGCTGCGCACAGGGATTTTTTTTCTTTCTTTCCTTTTCTTCCATCTCGCCCCCCCCCCATCCTCCCGGCCACAACCCCCATTCGCGGTATAATATCTCTTCTTTGCCTCCGCCGCCGCCGCCACCGCACCCCTACGACATACGCGGAACACCTGCTCGCGTCTCGTACAAAAGGGACAACGACGACGAAGACGCCCCCACCGCGGCGGCGCTTCCCCACCCACCGCGCCGGGACGAATAAATCTTTGGGTCGCCACCGCATCCCACGATTATTATTGTATATGATGATAAAATACATTTTTTCTCTCCCCCATTCGCCGTATAGTGTTCGCCGGCCAACGTTCGTCGTACCACCGCGTCTTCGTCGTCCCGGGCCGCGTTGTTCGCCCCGAAGCGGTCGCATAATAATAATTATTTTATTAAGTTCCGAGTCTTACTACACGCAAAACACGTTAATAGGTAGGTACGTGCATTGTTATATTTTTCTTATTACAATAAACCGCTTCCGCCGTCGATATTTTAATGGTATACGCCGACCGCGCGATAACGATGCGCCAAAGGTCAAGTGTATGAATAACGCATGCGAATCGCCGACGGGCCCTTCCGGTTTTCCGACCCCCCCCCCACCCCGGGGGGAGGAGGGGGGCATTTACACGAAAACCGAAATGTACATAATATTATATTTATTATACTATATTATAATTCGTCGGTTCGGTTCGGCGTTAGACTAACCAGGAAGGCCCGAGACGGCCGGCCGCGGAAACCCGTTTAAGCCTTAAGGCGCGGTGGTGCCGAAGACCTGTTGCCGCGCCGGTGCTGGTGCGCGCGCGCTCTCCGTACAGCGGAAGTTCCTCATGGTTTACTCACACACACACACAACCGGACCACAGTGTGCTGTATAGTCTATATTATTATTATATTGTACACACACGACGAGGAGAAGGCCCGCAGGAGACAAAGAACCACCGCCGCAGCCGCCGCCGCCTCCTCTTTGTCCAAGGTTAACCGTTGCCGTCGCCGCCGTTTCTCTATTTAAGGGCACAATACACGATCAGTAAAATTTGAATAACAATAAATAATACAATTTTCGATTGGCAGCACTGACCGGGTTTGTGTGTTGTACAGTATAATATTTAAAATACCAATTTTTATCATTATCTATTATCAAGATTTTTTGATTTGTATCATTTTTGGCAGTAGCTTTTTGTGTCTCTTACTGTCATTATTTGGGTTATATTTTCATACTGGTTTTCCGAGTGTTCTACATTTTAATGTTGGTTAGGTTAGGGTTAGTCGAAGTTGTATTTTGTATACTTTTCGAGAATTATTAGCTCTGTTTGACTACTTAGGTCAGGTCATGTTCGATGTCCGAACCGACTTACAAAATGTTCTAAATTTGGTTTCTTAAACGTCTGTCGTACCTGTAAAAGAACCGTCCATAGAGTTTGATGTATTATTATTGCGGCAAAAGCGAGGTCGACCGTCTGTAGTAACTAGTAATGTAGCAGCAGAGCAGCAGTACAACATTAATAACAATAATAATAATATGTAATGCGTTATGCTTTAACTTCCTCGAACAAAATTTAACCGAGTAGTATATACGATAAAATGTACACATTATATATTATGCACAGGTCGCCTAAAGGAGGGCGAGCACACACACAAAAAAAAAAATTAACTTACCGTCGAGTCGAAAAAGGATAATGTATTAGCTTGGTGCCGGTTTCCTGTGTAACCGGAAGTAAGCGCGGTGTCTCTAGGATATTATTATTATCATTATCGTTTGCCAGTAGTATATCATGCATGTCTGTATAAATACTCTGGTAGTTGTTATTATTATACTTACTATACTTACTTTTGTCAGCCAACCACCGTCGTTTCTATTTTAGTATCGGCGGGCTCAAAAAAAAAAAAGAAAGAAAAAACCCGTCTCGGTAGTCCGTTTTTTTTTCAATCGACAAAAGCCAAAACCTGAGGTTATTAAACCCTATATAATTTTTTTATTTTGGAATAGAATATCCGTGTGTGTGTGTGTGTGTGTGTGTATTATCAGTAAAATGTTAAAAATAACTAAGTGCGACTTCTTCTAATTACTATATTATATTATACACCGGGGGTCCATAGTACGTGACCGGGAGACCGTCCCGAGGTAACCGGAGGTGTTGTTGTTTTCTTTTCTTTTTCTTCTTATAAACAAAAAATATGTATTTCTATGATACCAAAAAAAAAAAAACTAAACAATATTACCGGCCGCTTACGATTTTTTCATACAGACGTTGTGTATTGTATACATTTTTTTTTTGGGGGGATTTTTAGACTTCCCCCTCCAGTCGGTAACGTTGACTTTTGTCCATTGGCAAACGTTTTGTGTGTCTCTAAAAACATATAATATTTAGTGTATTTAAAATAATAGTTGAGTTTGCAAATGAGACGAGGACGATAACACAATTTTCAACTCTTCACTAATAATCGTACCGTTCTCTTAGAGAAGACTCGAGATATCATCTACGGTTTCTTGAAATGGTCTCTAAACAAATTATTCTTGTCCACCAGCTGTCGCACATGTTTGGGGAGAGCTTGGGATGTTTTGTTTACCTGAATTTGGTGGATCTTGTATGGTATTTTACATGTAATTACAATTAATTTTTTTACCTTTTTTCCGGCTCGCAAAGAACAGATTATTTACACTATTGTTACTGTCAATTATTGTCCACCTTTGATGGTGCAGCAGTTCGTGTGGACGTCAATCAAAAACACAATATATTCAACTGGTTTAGGCATAAATATTATGTCAATTTGTTGTTTGTTCTACTACGGTGTGTTTCCTTTTTTTTAGATTATAAATAAATTTGGCAGGAATTGTTGGAAATAAAAAAAATATACATTTACATAGGATTGCGCGTTATCAATTTGCATTTAGTCGCTTTTGATTTTTTTCATAAAAAAAATAAATCACTATATCACTATACCGTGTTTTTTTCCCAATGTAAACAAACGATTTTTTTTCTTGTTTTTTATTGTTATTGCACATGTTTTTTTTTGATGAGGAAAACGGTTTTTTTTTTGGAATACCACCGGATTGCATATATATATTATTATTAGGTATTATTATAAAATTAGATTTTTAATTTTCAATGTAACAATTAATAATAACGTGTGTCGAGTCGGCGTTTATTATTTTTTTTTTCATGCAAATCGTCGAAACCGTTTTTGTTTGTCTTTACACAAAAGTCATTATCGCCTCGTATTCGCTTTGTTCCAAGAAAACAACAACACAAGACTGTAGTTGGGTTTTTCTTCATTAATATTAATATAATATTAATATTACTATGCAATTCGCCATTGACTTGCAACTAACAAATAACCATAGCAATAATCAACATGCTGCGTTGGGAAAAC